AGCGGTGGGGGAGGGAGAGTAGCGGTGGGGGAGGGAGAGTAGCGGTGGGGGAGGGAGAGTAGCGGTGGGTGAGGGAGAGTAGCGGTGGGGGAGGGAGAGTAGCGGTGGGGGAGGGAGAGTAGCGGTGGGTGAGGGAGAGTAGCGGTGGGGAAGGGAGAGTAGCGGTGGGGGAGGGAGAGTAGCGGTGGGGAAGGGAGAGTAGCGGTGGGGGAGGGAGAGTAGCGGTGGGGAAGGGAGAGTAGCGGTGGGGGAGGGAGAGTAGTGGTGGGGAGGGAGAGTAGCGGTGGGGAAGGGAGAGTAGCGGTGGGGGAGGGAGAGTAGCGGTGGGGAAGGGAGAGTAGCGGTGGGGGAGGGAGAGTATCGGTGGGGGAAGGGGAGTAGCGGTGGGGGAGGGAGAGTAGCGGTGGGGGAGGGAGAGTAGCGGTGGGGAAGGGAGAGTAGCGGTGGGGGAGGGAGAGTAGCGGTGAGGGATGGAGAGTAGCGGTGGGGGAGGGAGAGTAGCGGTGGGGGAGGGAGAGTAGCGGTGGGGGAGGGAGAGTAGCGGTGGGGAAGGGAGAGTAGCGGTGGGTGAGGGAGAGTAGCGGTGGGGAAGGGAGAGTAGACGTGGGGAAGGGAGAGTAGCGGTGGGGAAGGGAGAGTAGCGGTGGGTGAGGGAGAGTAGCGGTGGGGGAGGGAGAGTAGCGGTGGGGAAGGGAGAGTTGCGGTGGGTGAGGGAGAGTAGCGGTGGGGAAGGGAGAGTAGCGGTGGGGAAGGGAGAGTAGCGGTGGGGAAGGGAGAGTAGACGTGGGTGAGGGAGAGTAGCGGTGGGGAAGGGAGAGTAGACGTGGGGAAGGGAGAGTAGCGGTGGGGAAGGGAGAGTTGCGGTGGGTGAGGGAGAGTAGCGGTGGGGAAGGGAGAGTAGCGGTGGGGAAGGGAGAGTAGCGGTGGGGAAGGGAGAGTAGACGTGGGTGAGGGAGAGTAGCGGTGGGGAAGGGAGAGTAGACGTGGGGAAGGGAGAGTAGCGGTGGGGAAGGGAGAGTAGCGGTGGGGGAGGGAGAGTAGCGGTGGGGGAGGGAGAGTAGCGGTGGGGGAGGGAGAGTAGCGGTGGGGAAGGGAGAGTAGCGGTGGGTGAGGGAGAGTAGCGGTGGGGAAGGGAGAGTAGCGGTGGGGAAGGGAGAGTAGCGGTGGGGAAGGGAGAGTAGCGGTGGGGAAGGGAGAGTAGCGGTGGGGAAGGGAGAGTAGCGGTGGGGAAGGGAGAGTAGCGGTGAGGGAGGGAGAGAGGGATCCCTGATCATGTACTAGGCTGCCAAACCTTCCCGCCTATATTAAAATTATAATCTTAGCTGTACAATATATATTCCAGGATATGTTAATTTTCGTGTTAAGTGTACAGTTATACTATAATTGTTTTATAATTAATATTTTTTGCCTCCTGTTTTTTAATTAAACAAATTAAATTTTATTTATTAATTATGCAGTTGGTAGATTATTTGTGACTTGCAGCAAACTGTATGGGATCTTGATGGTGGGGAGGGATAGGCTCCATCCTGGTGGTGGGGAGGGATGGGCTCCATCCTGGTGGTGGGGAGGGATGGGCTCCATCCTGGTGGTGGGGAGGGATGGGCTCCATCCTGGTGGTGGGGAGGGATGGGCTCCATCCTGGTGGTGGGGAGGGATGGGCTCCATCCTGGTGGTGGGGAGGGATGGGCTCCATCCTGGTGGTGGGGAGGGATGGGCTCCATCCTGGTGGTGGGGAGGGATGGGCTCCATCCTGGTGGTGGGGAGGGATGGCTCCATCCTGGTGGTGGGGAGGGATGGGCTCCATCCTGGTGGTGGGGAGGGATGGGCTCCATCCTGGTGGTGGGGAGGGATGGGCTCCATCCTGGTGGTGGGGAGGGATGGGCTCCATCCTGGTGGTGGGGAGGGATGGGCTCCATCCTGGTGGTGGGGAGGGATGGGCTCCATCCTGGTGGTGGGGAGGGATGGGCTCCATCCTGGTGGTGGGGAGGGATGGGCTCCATCCTGGTGGTGGGGAGGGATGGCTCCATCCTGGTGGTGGGGAGGGATGGGCTCCATCCTGGTGGTGGGGAGGGATGGGCTCCATCCTGATGGTGGGGAGGGATGGGCTCCATCCTGGTGGTGGGGAGGGATGGGCTCCATCCTGGTGGTGGGGAGGGATGGCTCCATCCTGGTGGTGGGGAGGGATGGGCTCCATCCTGGTGGTGGGGAGGGATGGCTCCATCCTGGTGGTGGGGAGGGATGGGCTCCATCCTGGTGGTGGGGAGGGATGGGCTCCATCCTGGTGGTGGGGAGGAATGGGCTCCATCCTGGTGGTGGGGAGGGATGGCTCCATCCTGGTGGTGGGGAGGGATGGGCTCCATCCTGGTGGTGGGGAGGGATGGGCTCCATCCTGGTGGTGGGGAGGGATGGGCTCCATCCTGGTGGTGGGGAGGGATGGGCTCCATCCTGGTGGTGGGGAGGGATGGCTCCATCCTGGTGGTGGGGAGGGATGGGCTCCATC